TTCTCAACCTTTCCTCATGCATTGCGTGCTTCAGCCTGCTCATCTTGGCAGCCCTCTTCTGGACTCTCTCTAGCACGTCAGCACATTTCATGTTCTGAGGAGCTCAAAACTGGACCCAGTGTCCAGCTGTGGCTTTGCAAGTGCTAAGTAGAGAGGAAGAATCACTTCCCTTGACCTGCTGGCTGCAATAAAGCCCAGCATGCAGTTGTCCTTCATTGCAAGAGTGCGGTACTGGCTCATGTTCAACTGGTACATCCAGTCCTTTCCTGCAACACTGTTTCCTAGCCAGTCAGGGCCAAGTCTGTCCTGCTGCGTGGGGTTAGTACGTGCTGGGTAGAGTGTTCTGCATTTGCCTTTGCTGAACTTCGAGAGGTTCCTGCCAACCCATATCTTCAACCTGTTCGGGTATTTTTGAGTGGCAGCCCTGCCCTCCAGCAGTACTGGGTGCTCCTCTGTCATCTGTCAACTTCCTGAGAGATGCCGCTAGTAATCAGCTGGACTTTAGTACTGCTGATCACATTTTGAGCCTGGCAGTTCAGCTAATTATCCACCCACACTATAGTCTACCTGTCCCAGCCCATCTCATAAACCTGGCTACCAGGATCCTAAGGTGAAGGTAAAAAACACCCCCGTTGCTCTTCCCTGGTCTGTATAGCCAGTCACTCCATCACAGAAGACAAGGACACTGGTCAGGCACAGTTTGCCCTTAGTAAATCTGTGGAGGCTGTTCCCAATTGTCTTGTCCTTCATGTTTCTGGACATGGCAAATTTAGGAGGATTTACTCTCTAACCTTTCTGGAAGTTGAGACGTGGCTGACTTGCTTGTGGTTCCCTAGATCCTTCCTCTTGTCTTTTGTGAGGATGAGTGTGATATTTGCCTTTTTTCAGGATAGAGAGCAGCTTTGCAATGGTGTTGGCTCCTACAGATGCATCCCATTTGGTCCCATGGATTTGGGAATGTCCAGTGATCTCTAACTCAGACTTCTTTGCTGTGGGTAATGCCTTATGACCTCAGACTCTGCTGGTAGGCTTGGGAACCTGGGAGGCCTGCAAACAGAACAAGCCAGTGAAGACCAAGGCAGAGAAAGCATCAAGTCCCTTGACCTATTCCTTCACTAGATCCCCCTGCTTTGTTCTCTCTTCGGTGCACGTTTTCCTTTGTCTCCTTTTTGCTGCTGAGGTACCTGCAGAAGCCCTTCTTGAATCTCGTGGTGACGAGAAATAAACCTGCATGTTGGTGGTGGATTTTTGTTACTGTTCTTGTTATTGTCTCATCTGCATCTGTTTTCCCTGACATGTAAGTTAAAAAACTAATTTTGCTGAGCTGCAACAGCTGCCACTTCCCACCACAGTAAATTAAGCTTTCAGGAGACCTCGTATTTGGAATTACAGTTCTGATCATAATGTGGATTTTAATAGTCAATTGAGATGCTTATTAAATTATAACACTCTACATTAGGACTATTCCTGTAGTGCTTTAGAATTCTTGATCATTTAGTTTTTATTATTTTGTGATTTAATGAACAGAAATCATTAAAACTTAAAGCCAAATGCAAAACAGCTATATAAAAACATTCTATAAAATCCAGGAAAATGGCAGATATAGCTGTAAAAAAAATTCTTTCTAAAGCCACAGTCCCTGTTAAATGCCGTTAATTTTAATAGAAAGATGAACGTCACCATCCATTTTCTTAACAAAGAAAATCTCTTCCTCGTTTCTTTACTAGGTTCACACTATTCAGTCTGTACTCTAGTGAAGCTTATCAACCAGATTTGAAAATGATTCACTCTGGTGTGGTTTTTTTTTAATCGGTATAAGATACAAAGGACAGGTTTGTTTGTTTTTTTCGTATCCATACACAGAACAGAATAAACACTTCTCCTGTTTTTGAAGAATGTGAATACACCATAACCAACACTTGTGCCTTTTTTGTTACTGTGTGGTTCTACTCTCTGCAGCATAGAGTTGTGGCTGCTATGCCTGAAATCAATTTTTTATTATATTAAAGTATGTGTCCAAAATGCATTGATCATAGACTGCATTAACGTGATGATACAAATAAAAGGCAGTCACATCAACCCCCCCATTCCTCCGTGGCTAGGTAGGTAAGGTAGTCTGAATTATTTTAGGGTGTGATGTCATATAGCAGTTCAGTAACATGAGAATTACTGTGCAAGCCAGTATTACTGGTTATTACCAGTAGTATTACCCAGATTACCATAGAAACAATAAGTTAAAAGGAATAGTTGTATTTAGTGCTCAAGATTTTTTTTTTTTGAGGTTTGATCTGTTCTTGTTTAAAAATGCCTATTTTAAATATATGTATATATATATAAAAAAAATGTAATGCACATACATGTGTGCATGTGTATGTATGCATATATACAGACAAGCGTCTTAGTTCTTGAAATCCTTCTAGATTAGTATAGCAAAATCACTAACTACACATTATTTTTGTTTATTTTTTCAGATGCGAAAGATGGTTTTGCATAAGATGCTGGTAAACAAATACATGCAATGGAAGAAATATCTGTATCACAAACAGGTCCTTGTCAGAATTTTCATGCGTAGTGTTGCTCTGCATTGTCCTTTAGATGAGACTTTTATGTTCATTTCAAAGCAGACTGAAGATTTATCAGGGTTCTTGTTTAAGTCTGGGTTGTGAAGGCAATTACAGTATACACCTGAATTATAAATAGACCTTTGGGTACGGTTATAATTAGGATTTCAATAATAAAACTGTTATTCTAGTTGCTTTTGTGTGGGTTTTTTTTTCATTTCCCCTCATTTAAATTTTGGTTTAGGGCCTTCTAGTTGCTTGCTATTTACCTATGACCAAGAGTTTTCTGATAGATCAGAGGTCCAAGGTCTGTATTTGTTGTCAGTAAAGGGCTGGGTGCTGCCACTGTTGCTGCTGTTTGTCCCTTTGTGGTTCCTGCATGCTTTTATCTGTGACTACATGAAACAGTTCCTTCATACAAGAAGTTTTCTGTGTTCCTAATCCTGTTTGTTCCATTTCTGTGAACAGCATATTTTCTGTCATAGCCTTTGGAGAGGGAGTGACTAGCTGTACAGAGTATACACGGAGCCCGAGGCCACGAGAGCCACAAGCAGGAACGCGCCCCATCGTCCACAAAGGGATTACATAAACCTGCGAAGCTACATCTTTGCTCTACTTGAAAGCATTGTGAGTTTTGTCACTGATTTTAAAGGGAACCAGATTTGCTCTTAGTAGACAGGTTGAGTTCATAAGCACTTATTGTCTCTTCCTCAGTTTCTGTTTTAATGTAGCATAAACGTACTGAAGCTTAGCGTATTGACATCCGAGCTTTGGCTTCATCGAGATGCAACCAGTAAAACCTGTTGTAAAGTGCACTTGAGCTTGCTCGAGTAGGCTTGGTGCAGTTCTGGTGCACACTTTGTTATCATGAGACCACCTGGAGCAACAGGGGACTTCATTTCTAAGGGGAGCTGACCTGCAGCATTGAGGGTACGTCTTTGGGAGCAGAGCCTGGCTGGATTGCCCACGTAGAAGTGGATTACAGACAAAATGGACAGGTGTGTAGGTCTATTTGCACACATGGGATTGGCATAAAAATGCAAATTGTCAGCATAATTTCCTTCCCGTCCTGATGCTCCTATCCAGCTTTTATAGTTACAATGTACTTGTTATTGGCTTTGCTATCCTTACTCAGTTTACCACCCATCTCTGTTCTCCCTGCTCTCTTATCCAGATGTCTGCTTCTCCATCTTCTGGGAGAGTAAGTGGGAGCGCAGCCTTCAAGGCGGACCTGGAGCAGGCAGCACTGTGCATTCCTTCCTCCTTCATCCTCCACAGAGCCTTTACTTCCATTCCCCGCTTCCCTGCGGTGCTTGGTCCTCTCCTCGTCAGAGATGAATCCCCTGGCCTAGGGAATGAGGAAAGACAAGGGGGTAGCGAATTTCGGCAGGGGAACTCCCTGCCCGTGCACACCTTTCAGCAGTGTCTGCTTCCCAGCACAGCTCTTGAAGGCACAGTAAGGATTAACAGATTGTCACAGCAATGGCACGAGCTAATCTGAACAGGGACGCAGCGGGCCTGAGGTTCGCCTTGTGGGAATGGGGAGGCTCTGAGGCACTATGGCAACAAGGGCTGTATGCAAAGATGCCAAAACTCATCTTTTAATCCGTGCTGCAATTCTTAGCTATGGATCCCTTTCCATTCTCTTCATATTTCTCAAAAGTGTCAGATGGCATGCACACAGTTTAATTGAGGTGGATGAGAGTGTGCCAAGAACAGTGTATATTGAACGAATTTTTAAGCATGTCCCAACTTGAGAGGAATACAAGAACTCTGCAACTTATTTTTGCAACGTTTGTGACTCCCATTTTTACATTAGCTTCACTTCTCCTCCCCTCCCTACCCCAGGATTTACCCTCAAAGTTTTTTTCTTCTCCCCCTTCCCCCTGCCAGCTGTTGCACTGTGACTCATTTTGCTCCTGTACCTCTTTTCTTCCTTAAAAGCATCTAAACTATCCCAGAGGCCTGGGCCAGCTAATATCCTTCCTTCAGCAAAGATTTGATGTAGTGTGCAGACATCCCAGATCTCTATCTGCGCAAATAAGGTACTTGGAAAATGCGCTTTGCCACAATGCCAGGGTGACTGTGGGGCCATAAAATCTCTCTAAACTGATTCATGGAGAGATTAAGCAAGCTCTGGAAATCTCCTTAGAGATGGGAGATAAATAAAGAAAATATCTGGGCCAACCTCAGACGTGATCTGTGACCGAGAGCACCAAGCGTTGCTCTCTGCACGCTCACTGATTAAATCCTGGCAGCTAAGTCGCTACTGGCAGATAAGAAAGGGGAAAAATACAGGAAGGGAGGGGGGATGTAAAAGCGTGACTGAACTTTCCTCATGTACTTCCCAGCCTCCAGCAAGCCCTCCCATTTGCAAGCGCTGCCAAGCGCTGGCTCTGTGCAGGCGTTTCTGAGCATGCACGGCCGCTGGCGCATGCGCAGCCCAGGCAAAGGCTGCAGAGGGCAAGGGGCCTCCCTCCACCCCGAGCGCTGCCGCCGACGGCGTTTATAGATCTAGTCAGGCTGCGGGCTGAGCTCTGGGGCTGCCGGGCGCTATGGACCAAGCTGGGAAGCGGTCGGGGCCGGCCGCTCGGCTGGACGTCATCCTCCGGCCCCTCTCCCCCCGGGGGGGGGGGGGCGCCCCCCGCTCCCGTATCCTTTCTGATGTGGGGTGGGAAGCGGGGAGCAGCATGCTGGTGGCCCGCTGGGGCCCCGGGCAGCAGGTGTCTGCAGGCCTCATGGCAGCCCTCCTGGGTACGTCTTGACACCGTGGTGGAGCAGCTTTGCTTGCTTGCTTATAAGGGGCTGGTCATAAAAGGTGCTGAAAACATAAGCGTGCGTTTTCACGTAGCGGCTACCTGCACATCCAGACTTGCTGACGTTAGCTTGTGGCCTCAGGAACGGTGGCGAAGGGTGAATTTGTGTTCTAGAGATTCACGGTGTTTGGGGAACTGAATCCTGCAGGGCTCAGCAATTGCACGGTGAATCTCAGACCTTGCTGAGAGGTGCAGACCTAACCGATGGATCGGAAGCAGGAAAAACATAGAGGTTTTGTTTGTGTTGTCCTTGTGGATGAGAAATGAGGTGGAAATTTTGGAGGCTGCCACTTTTAAAATACATCAGAGGAAGAAGACCGGGACAGAAAGAAGTTTTCATGGTGGTCCGTCCCACATTTCCAAAAATTAAATGAAAAATGACTGCTGACATAATTTTTAAAGCTGCTACCTTAAACTGTATGAAGAAAGTGAGCTCTTCACCACTAGGCCTGGGAACACTAAGAACAAATTGCTCTCTAATAAAGCTGTCTTAGTAGATGTCATTTCTTGGCCAGCCCAAAGACTGCAATGTGACGTTAGGGGATATTTCAGGAGGTGTATTCTTTTCTTGCCCCAGCCAGCCATCGAAAAATAAAATAAAATTGATGTCCTCATCTTCTTTGTTTATTTAAATGTAAATCTCCACAATAGAGAGTTTAATATTGTGTTGTAGATAGCTAGCTTTCCTCCTGTAGTTGCTCTAGAAATTGGTGTAGGGGAAGATGAGTTATTTCTACGCAACAGCAGCACCCAACATACTATCGTTCATTCACAGAGTCTTGCCTTGCAGCCTCAGAAAGGAAAGGAAGCAACAGGAGGTGAAACATGGCAGGGATGTTCCCTGGGATTTTTCTTGGATGCTTGGCATAGGGAGCTAGAGGAGAGTGCTGCACTCGGTATCCCCAGCCTCCTCTCTCACTGCAGGACAGCAGCTGAGAAAAAGCCACATTCACAGTTGCCTTTGCAAGACCTTCATTCTTGCACCTGTGAACTCAGCTTGGGTGCTGCCTGTTTTGGGAGTCTCGGGACAGAAACAGCATACACGTTGCAGCAGTGAAGGTCACCTCAAAATGCAGACACACAAGGGAGGTTCAGGAAACAGCTATGCAGCTACAGTTATTTGAGTGTTTGACTTGGGGGCGGTCACACACTGGTGAAGCTGGAAGAGCAGTGGTTGTTAGCCTGGCAGCTACAGAGCACAAGGTTTCTGTGGGACTGTTTCTAAGAGAACAACAAAAGGCCACTACTCGAGATTATCGTGCCTGTCTCAGATATGCAGGAGTTCACATCATCCCTTGAGAAGCTGCAAGGAGATGCTTTGGAAAAGCTTCTGGGGATCTGGAACCTGGCTGTGCCTATGCTTCAATCTGTATGAAAGGACTGGCTTGCTCATAAGTGTTCCCAGATATTAAATCGCCTGCTCTGTGGGCTAGCTTGCCTGTTCTGTGACTAACTTATTCCCAAAAGGGCCTGTGTGAGGGGAAGAGAAAAGTTTTAATATACTGTGTCACCACAAAAATTAGATGCTGGAACACAGGTGGCAGCTCCTTTCCACCAGCCTGTATTCTTCTTGCCTCAGATAGTGTTAGCACATCCAGGGTCCAAGTGACCCCACAGTTGTCCTTTCAGTGTCATAGAGGTGGCAAGAACAAAACCATCAAAAGCAACAGGTGCTGCAAAGACTGGGTGGAAGGAGTTCAAATGGGATCTGATGCTTGGTGGAGTTGCCCTCTGCCCACTGTTTCTGGGAGGCTCAGCTGCTCTCTGGAGCATAAAGAAAGATTGAGAGAGTAGGCATCTCTGATGAGCATCTTGTTAAGCATTTTGACGTTCTGGGAAGTGAATCCAGGCCTGTGGCCTTCTCCGGAGTCTAAGGCTTTTTGCACTCACTTTGCTATATGCATGGACAAGACTGTACTTTTCCATTATTTTATGCTTTTCTGCCAGACATGCTACTCAGAAGGTGGGAAAGGTTTTCCAGAAGCAAAATAAGCAAAAACCTGAATTAGTTGTACAGCACAGCATGTATTTTTAAGAAGAAGCATATTGTAGGGTTCAGGATACTTAGGTAAATTCTTTTATACTCTACTCTATACTGGTGTATGTTCCCTAATTTATACCCCAGACCATCATTCCTACTTCAGCACAAGTTAGTGCTGTTACTCAGCCAGGGAGGTTTCGGTAAGCTCTGTCTTTCTTTATACACAGATAAAAAATTAACCTTCAGTATTTTGCTCTTTTTTCCATTCAATATACCCTAGCTCACATGCTGATTACCGGTCTTTATACAGCTTTCAATTTTTCTGGGATATATCCCTCCTTGTTTAACTGTAGCTTTACAAAAAAGGTTGACTCTGAATCTTGAAAGTGCCTGTTGGAGTGAATAATCTGACTCCACAGGATGCTCCTGTGTGCTTGAATATCTCTGCTGGGAGTAAAACTGCTGAGGACTGATCTCTGCTTTTTTGCTCGCTTTTCCTACCCGAAAGGGTAGAAAGAGGCTGCTTTGAACGCTATCTCAGAAGTAGCTCGCGGCTCCACGCAGAAGCAGCGCGCAGTCGCTAGCACACCGTGCAGGCTCTGGCGGGCTGAGGCCATCCTGCGGGCCGTGTACACGCGGCGTGTCCTAGGAGCTGAGGTGCACGTGCAAATGTCCTTGGTGCCTTGTCATCATCCTGTTGGGAGGACTTCTCACTGATTCACCCCTTGATGACACCGGCTGGAGCCTTCTGCCTCTCCCCGTCAACAGTTAATGCCCAGCGCTCCACGCTTTTCCTTTCAGGTCTCCTCTTTCCCGCCCCCTTGGCGCTCGCTCTGCCCAGTGGCACTAATGTGTTTCTCCTGTTCGTATCTCAGCTACACCCTGGACAACGATGTTCTAACCACAGAGCAAAGGCAGTTCTACGAAGAAAACGGTTATCTTGTCATCAAGAAGCTAGTTTCTGATGAAGACATTGAACGCTTCAGGTACAGGCCTCTTGCCTAAGCTGCTCATGGTGTTTATGTGCAGCAGCACCCTTAGGGAGCTCTTGGAAGCTGTAGTCTTGGGGCTCGGCCAGCATGGGAAGCGTGTGCTGTTGCTGAATACCTCCCTTTGTGGAAACAGGGTGTTTGAGGAGAGTGAGCTGGCAGAAGATTGCTAAACTGTGCTCCGTCTTCTCTGATTCCCACCTGCTTTCCAGGAAGGAATTCGTAAGGATCTGTAACAAGGAGGTAAATCTACTGGGAGCTATGATCATGAAAGACGAGATGCTGAGGTCCCAAAATGTTCAGTCTGAAAAAATGGTCAATAAAGTACAGGACTTCCAGGAAGATGAAGAGTTGTTCAGATACTGTTCTCTGCCGCAGGTAAAAAAACAAAAGGGAGAGAGTGGTGGAAGAACATATGTGAACGTATCTATGTTTTAATGCCTATGTGAAGAAGTTTGTTTAGTTCTGCTAAAGCATTGTCCTTTGTCCCATATATCACTCCCATAAGAATATATACGAGAAAAGCGTATCAAACAATCTTTTAAGAGTTTTCTGTGTGAACATGGGATGGTAGTCAGGACAGAAAACTTAAAGCAGCGTTCCCCGACTCCTACAGTGGGTGAGCCGTTTGGGAATGTGACTTGCCCAAACTGTACCAAGCTAGTAGGAGGGATTAGCAGCATTTTCTGAACTTTTTTCTCTGGGTAAAGCATCTGCTCTCTAGGCTGGTAGCTGATATTCAAGTTATGGCAGAGAGCCATAGCTAGAGAGCAGCCAATAGCGCTATCTACTCTTTTCCCAAGCCTCTGCTGAGCTTTGTGGAAGTACAGCCCTCCTTACCTTTTCTACTTCAGCCCAGTGGCCACACCGTCTTCCGTCTTGGCCTCCTACTGCCATACAAATTTGCAAGACGTGACAGATCCCGTGTCATGTCTTGCTTCCCTCCCTCTTAACTTCCTCCTCCTCCTGCTGTACCCTAGTCCTCAGCCAATAGGACCCCAGTGGGTCCCAATACTTTCTCAGCTTTTTTGCTTGTGTCTTTCATGTTTCTAATATTTTTTCTAATGCTTTCTTCTCTGTAGGTCCTCAGATACGTTGAGTGCTTCACAGGGCCAAACATAATGGCAATGCACACCATGCTGATAAATAAACTTCCAGATTCTGGTAAGGAGAACTTGGATAACAGGGAAATACAGAAATTGCTGTGTGTATGCTATCTGGCCAAAACTGAGCTTGCTGTTTCAGAAAAGCTGTTTGACTTGAGACAAATCAAAACCAAATAATTTTGAAAATGTATGAGGCCACTTTGGTAATCGTTTGTTTTTGGTTTAGCCTTGGCTTACTGAGATACATTTCTTATCTTTCAATTTTCTGTGGACCTTTGTTTGCTCATGTGTTCAAAGGTAGGCACTGGAGCTCCTTATTCAGCCAGTTGCACTTGCATAAGTGTCCGCTGCTTAAGACATCACACTCTTTTTAAGCTTGACTTTTCACATGTGCTGAAAAAAAGTGCTTCTGTGGACTTCAGTAAAAGACATTAAATACAGGGAGCATCCATAGCTTAGAGTTTATATGCTATTTTCCAGACTAAGAGTTCAGACATGTCAAAATTAGCCTGTAACTCCTAACCTCACTGACAGGTGTTGGGTGCTCAGCACTTTGATAAGAAGATATTTGAATAGGTGCCAGAACAAGGATTTTGAAATCTAGCTCTGGCTCCCACTGCTGAAAATTGATATCATAATTCATACAAGGGTCATGTGAGGAAGAGAAAGAGAACCTAATTAAGCATATTACAGCATTTCACTCAGGTGCCCAGCTTCTGAGTATAAGTATATTGTGTTGAGTTATTACAACTCTGAGTTTATTCACGTCATCTTTACTTGTCATCTTAAAAACTCCCCAGAAAAGTGCCATTTTGGGGGAGAAAAGTCAATAGGAGACAATACGTTTATAAAGGAACAGCAAAACAATAGTGATCAAGAGGAGGGAAGCTGTTCTGTGTTTGGAAGACCTCCACAGGAATCCTTCTGAGGAGTACTTTAGGAGAGAACTCGGGAGAGTTTTCTAAGCTGCCAAAATCTAAATAATATGACTCCTGAGGAAAGTAGAAATATCCTGATTATATCAATCTGAGGAGAAAATTTAATGGCAAGAGAAGTCTTTGAATATATTGACTGTTTTAATGTAGAAAAGGACGATGTGTTTCCATTTCCATAGTGGGAAGAGAAGTAAGAAGCATAACCTCAGCAATATTTTTTCTGTTTAGATATTAGTAAAAGATCTAGGAAGGAGGCTAACAGAGTGCTAGGTAGATTGTCTGGGGAGGCTACAGACTGATAAATATAGATTACAAAAGGAAAAAAAAGAACGATTAATAAACATCTGTTGGGAACAGCACAGTCAGCGTTGATTCTACTTACAACACAGGGATGGATCAAATGACTTCTTGATATGCTTTCCAGCACTGCTCTCTGTGGTTATTTGAAAATCTTTATACTGTGAAAGATTTATGTAACACAGTGCTGGGTTAAAGTTCATTAAGCTGGAGAGCAGCCAAAGTAAAAGGTGGAAACTCAGCAAATGATTGGTGATGGCCAAGGCCAAGAAAACAGGTCTTTTGAGCAAGTGCACAGTCCGACAGTCTCCTGGAGTATGCTGTGTCCGCTTGCTTTTGCTGACCTGAGATCCACGACTGTGCTCTTGGTATGTCTTAGCGGGAGGGTGTAGACATTCGGCTTCAAAATCGGTGGCAGGGTCCAGCACACGTATGTTCAGCAGTGTCTATCCACTAATAGGTTCATTTGTTAATAGTGAATTAACAAGTGAAGTGACTTAATATGGAGGAAAAGGCTGTGTCACATTTGAAGAGGCTGAAGATTTTGAATCTGTGTTACAGATAAACAGACTTTTCGCCATCCCATGCATCAGGACTTGTACTACTTCCCTTTCCGGCCTGCGGACCGCATCGTGTGCTCCTGGACCGCCATGGAGAGGGCCGATAGGAACAACGGGTGTCTGGTCGTGCTGCCAGGGACACACAAAGAGTCCCTGAAGCCTCATGGCTACCCAAAGTGGGAGGTAGATCTGCATGGGGGCTTTGCAGAGGCTTGGAAGATGCCAAGATGGAGGGATGATGTGCAGGTCACAGCTGAGGTTTTCAGTGGTGGGGTTTCTGTTTATGCAGCTACCAGGTTGTTGCTTCATGTGAGAGTTGTTTAGCTGGCCTTGCTCTGTGTGACTTAAGAGTGGCCCACCTGGCCTTGAGCAGATTTCTTCCCTCTCCCACTTATGGGAGTGAAGTTGTTCTTGTTCAGATGAAAGTAGCAGCCTAGTAAATGAGGGAGAAGTGTTTACGTACTCTCAAGAATACTGTTGTAGCTCTGGCTTGAGGTGCTGGAGGGGGTGCCCTTCTGGAGCTGAACCACCAGTGCACTGTAGTTCAGGGCAAGGGGTTGAGACCTCTGAACTATCTGGCACTCTGCAGCATAACCATATAAACCCATGCAGCTGCTTTCCCCATTCTTGCCAAGTCTGAGGACTGTTTCTCCTCCTCGGAATTTGTTCCTGCCTGGCAAGCACGTGTATTTTCCCGTAGAAGAGAAATTGGGAGGTAAACAACTGGATGGAATTAAATATCAAGTGGTAACTTCCTCTTAAGGATGGATGTTTCCTGACCTGGCCTAGCGTTGATGATAGTCATACTTGGAGCAGGAGCCAAAACCCCAGAGGTGGCCTCCAGTCAACACTTCTGTGATTTCTTCGTGCTCTTCTCTGTTCTCACCAGTGGAAAATCGCACAGAATCACAGAATGGCTGAGGTTGGAAGAGACCTCTGGAGATCATCTAGCCCAACCCCCCTGCTCAAGCAGAGTTGAGCATGCAGAATATGCTACCTAGGAGAAAGCAAATCAGTAGCTATCTCTGCCCTCCCCCGCAGTGAGAATCTGCAATTGCTGTAATTTTCATTGAGTGATTTCAACTTTGCTTTTTTTCTAGGGCATAGTAAACAAATTGTTTCATGGAATTCTTGATTACGATGAGAACAGTCCCAGGGTTCACGTTGTCATGGAAAAGGGAGACACGGTGTTCTTCCATCCTCTGCTCATTCATGGCTCTGGAGTAAACAAGACGTCAGGTTTCCGAAAGGTAGGAAACTAGCCCTGAATACAGCTATCAATACTTTTGTTTGCCTTTTTAAGCTGATCAGAGTAACACTACCTCCCCTCTCTTCCCAAACTTATGAATATCTGGATGAACTTTTTAATGTGTTTTTTAGGTCTCTAATACACTTCTGTTATCTTTTTTTTTTTTTTTTTTAATATCTCTGGGTGGAGAGAAATAGAGCAGCAATAGCAATTAGATGTTGAATCTATGTTTGAAGCCTGGCTGGCTGTTTTTGCTTCGCCAGTAGTTCCCTTCGCTCTGTCCCAAATATTCTCTAACTTCCTCCTGCCCTCTTGACACATCATCTCTTGATACCAGGAGCCACCATCATTCAATAAATAATAATTATTTATGCCCATCAGCTACTGGTTCTGCATCACTATGCAGAACAGAAACAAGCAAAGGTGCTCTCCTTTCAAGGCCTGATTCTTTGCCAGAAGTGGATTCATCGAAGCAAGGGCTAAGGGAATGGTAGCCTCCATCCCTTTGCTAGCAGCAATGCAGATGTTCCCCCTCGTGCACTGCAGCACAGATTATTCTACGGGTTTTTTTGCCTGCACTGACTCTTGTGCAACACTTTCTCTCAGTCCCAGTAGCAGCTGTGGAACTTCCTGCTCCTGATCCTGAGAGCAGAGCGCCCAACTGCTATTGAGTCTGATCCGCTGCCTCTCTCCTGACAAGCAGACCAATAGTCCTAACCTGTCGTCGTTGTCCTACCCGTATCCCGTAGAACGACAGGAGGCCCTCTTACTGCGCTAACTTCCAGCGGTAGTCTGCCTTTGGGGTAAATCAGCACTGAGTGTCTTGGAGCTCTCCAGACTAGGTTATAATCCAGCATGCTTTGCAGCTTGCGTGGCAGGCAGGTGTTTAGGAGAGGAGGGAAGGAAGAAGAGCACGCATGTGAGCAAGAATGTTCTTTCCAAGTGGATGCTCTCAGGTGTGCTGGAGTCCTCTGGAAGGAGGAAGACACGTTTTGCCTTGATCTGTAAAGAAGGGGTGGGGTGTCCACAACCAGCGCTGCATGAGCTTTTTGCCATTGGTTATTTTGTAATCAGTGTGGTAGTGATACCCCATTTCCGCCTGCAGAGTATAAGTTGTCACTTTGCCAGCTCAGAGTGCTACTACATTGATGTCAAGAACACTGTCCAAGAAGACCTTGAGAAAGAAACGGTAGAAGTGGCACGCAGCAAATTTAACATATCTTCTGTGGACCTCAAGGTAAGATTTTGACACGCGCCCTTTGTTGCAATATAGGTGCTCAGTTCCCTTTTCTGTTTGTAAGAATCTCCTGTATGACCATTTTGTGGGTTTTTTTTCTTATTCCGAGTGTCACAGATGAAACCATGTATATGAAGCTACAGGGCCGAGCAGGGGTGCTAGTCAGAATAGAAGATCAGGTATCTGAGGGTGACTCGGAGGCATTTTTGGCCTTTTTGCTGATAAGCCTGCTGCTTGCTGTCTAGCTGCCTGTGGTGGATAAGTGACCTTGCCCTCTAGGCAGCCCCTTGGCCTCTGTGGAAAGAGCTCTAGAAGTTCCTCCTGTAGCTCTGCTCATCAACATGGATTTTATGAATGTTCCTTGATCTCTTTTGGTGCAACCTGAGTTAGTGCAGAATGTGTTAGCAGGTCTGTGGGTGACTGTAACTGAAGCTGTAGTGTGAGTCAGAAGGAGCCCTGGACTCTGCTGTACTGATGGCTCTGCTATGAGGCTGCTCATATTCACTTCTATAGACCACTCAAGGCAGTTGAGACTTCCAGACAAGGAACCCAGACTTGCCACACTGGGTAGCAGATTATATGGAGAGGGCTAATGCAGTAGGGTGAAGTTTATGCAGGTGTTACCCTCCATTGCGTGTCCTTGTTCCACGTTTGTTGAGGGGTTGCAACTGAACCAGAGCTCTTTGCAGTTGTATTTGGGCTCTGTGATGTAGGTAGGAAGATGTGGTGATCTCTTTTCCTTGAATTTGCAAGAAAAAAAAAAGCACAATCAATTCAGTGCTCATCCATAGCCAGCATGGGCATAGCTCTTAGGTTTCGCCTCCTAACAGCAAATGTGTTTTCTTTTTAAAACAAGTAGCAATACCCCACCTGACAGGACAGGTTGGCTGTTTTTTTTTTTTTTTTTTTTTAAAGCCAGGGGTGGGATTAAATATAATCGCATAGCTATTGCTTAGATTTGAAGCAGCAGCAGGAAAGTGAGCAGAGATGTACATCTACCCCCCACCCCCAAAAATAGGGACAACCACTTCATGCTGAATAATTGAAAGTATTGTGTACAACAGAAAATAAATATAAACTCTCCGGGAGTTCAGCCACTGAAAAAATGATAAACCTTGTACTGGGATTGAATGTTTCCTAATCTTCTGAATGTCTTAATCCACAGCATTTCCCAAACATATACACATCCAGAATCAAGACAGTAAGTTCTAGATGTAATAGACAATGAGTACCTTTTAAAATCACTAAATATCCAGGGTTTTTTGGGATGGGGGGAAGGGGCTAGGTTTTTTTTCTTTTTTTCCACAGGGTGCCTAGGTAGGGTTGGGTGCCCAGCTGCATTTTGCAAGCCTGATCATAGGTATTATCTGTAAAGCTAAAGCGTTCTTGACTGGAATTACTTAGGTGCACAGTGCAGCCTGGAGTGCTGCATTACAAGGCTCACTCCGTCTCGTGAGCAACAGTGAGTGTGTGCCCATACACGCCTTCTTGTGTGTTCCCACGTAGCCTAAACCTTCTTTAATTAGAGTTGGTGCTCTCTTCCAAAGAGGAGTGCCTATTTCTTATGTTTTACCTTCATAACACTACTGATGTGAACTAAGTAATCCTCACGCAGGGAAACTGAGACAGGAACTTGCCCAAGGCTTACTTCCATGAAGCAAATGGTTGTGTTTTTCTTTTCTTTACAATCTGCAGCAACGTCTGCTCAGTGCCTGGTGTTGAGCTAAGTGCTTGTATTCATATCCATTGCTTGCTGCTCGTTTCTGCTGCTCAAGAGATATTGCTTCCTCATATAAAGAAATATGAAATATGTAGTGGGTCAGTGAGCTTTTCCAACCAGAGGAAATCCGGTAGCACTCAAAGGTTTGCAAGGGAGACATTGTGCATACAAGCAGGTTAGACGACCTCTGCCAGGGTAATACTGTCTGTGCTGTACATGTTCCTTTTCTGCCATCTTTCAGAATTGAACGTTTGGCCTGTTGCAAGCCTTGTCAAACCCACAAATGACCTGACTTCTTAGGGTGTGGGCTGTATCTTGTTCTAGTGTTAGCTGTATTTTTGTTCATGATATCTAGAATTTGAAAGGAGATTCAGTAAGTGTTTTGATGCATTTTGTTGAGTACCTAGCTAAGCTGAGAATGCTCTTTGTGTTTCCAGCTGTATCCTAGTCATCATCTTCGCTGGCTCATTACACTTTTCCTTACTTTTGTTTTGTTTCTGAAGGATATTTGGAGCTTCCGAGCACGGCTCGTGCAAGGGGCAAGAGTGAATCTTTAGAACAACCTCCAAAGACTGGGATGGAAAACATGTGCCTGAGTATCACCTTCTGTGATCGGAGAGTGCAGGCCCTGCCTAAGCAGTCAGGATTATGTGCTTCGTTGACCTCTGTATTGGTAACCTAACGAAAGACAGCATTGCAAATTTATTTTATGCTAATACAAAATAACTGCGCTGAGGTTTAACAGCTGGCATACTTCAAGGAAAATCTAACCTACAAAAACAGAGATTTGCTGTAGTTAGTTATTTTAAGCAATCAAAGAATTATGGTCTTGAAAGATCACGTTCACTTTTTGATGTTTTCATTCTTCTTTATTGAAGGTCTCTCTTTTGGCATACTTTTGGACTGATGCTATATTAATACAAGATTTTACGCAAGTTTCTGGATTTTAGGGTTTCCAACTTCCTTTTCTACACAAAGGAAATACAATGAATCAGAATTTCATGCAAGCCTTTAGAACGATCTCATGGGGAAAGCCACTAGTGCAGCTGATGAAGGTGGTGCTACTGGGAGCAGAAGAAGCAAGAGTGCAAGCAACTACATGATGGGTAGACAAATGGGCTTCATGGTCTAGAACACGATCCATGGACACAGTTCCTCAAGCCGGAGCTGGTGTGGTATGCTGTCTTAGTGAGCAGCACTGCAGTAGCGGAACGTGTGGTTGATAGGGTTGGGGAACGACTGGGCCTGCAAACCAGCCTCCCATCAGCCTTTGATATTTAAGGCTATTTGAAATGAGGGAGGCCTCCCGTGAGACTGGCGTGCTTGGGAAAAGGTGCCTTTGGCGGTTGCTGGGTGGGTGAAGGTTCAGCGCTCCTCCGGATGCTCCGACGGCCAGGTCGAGCCATGTGCACTGAAACGATTCTCTCTGCTGCGGCAATTTTTTGCTGTCAGAATCGACTTTTGAAATCCAGATTAAATTAGTGCAAAGCCACCTAACGGAGTCTGTGCTGTGTTCTTTCTACAGTTCAACAGGTATGGGGATGGGTGCGCAGTAGAATACCCTAGTGTAAACTTGCAGTCTGTCCCATTCCCCCACCACCACCAGCCTTGCAGAAGGTGCCAAAACAGAAGCGTTTTCAAAGCCAACTGGTGATAGAGCGCTGCTGGTCCCCAAACCCTCCGGGGACTGCTGGGCCAGCTCCAGAATCCCTGCATGCTGATGGGATGGCAGATGGGATGGCAGGCTGCACTGTCCCATTTGAGGCCCAGTCTCATCCAGATCCAGAAGCAAAGTGCTCCCCTGCCTTTCTCACCGGAGAGGCTTTGGCCAGTTTCCAGAGGGCACGTCCAAAAGGCCTGGCTCCATCGCCATGCTGTCGTGGCTCCTTTTGCTCCTCTCTCCTGTGACTCAGGAGACGACTTGGGTGAGAGGAGGGGTGCAGGTGCAGTTGTGTCCTCTACCCCACAGACTCCAGCACTGCTCCCCCAGGGCATTGCGTGGACAAGAGGCTGCAAGGCAAAGCTGTTGCAGCTTGTTGCAAATGGGTTGCTGGGCTCAAGAGCAAAATGCACGAAGGAGCAAAGTTGTGTCGCTCAGTGAGGGAGGGCAGGGATGTCTGATCCAGGCTGTGTGCCAAAGACTGCTCATGCATTTGGTAACAAGCAGTTGTTAAGCTCCTGAAGTCCTTTTTTACCTGCCAATGTAATGCAGAGGAGATTTTTGCACTTCTTCCTGTTTGTCCTGCAGCAGCTGTGGGTTTTTTGTGTTTCTTTTTCTCTTGAAGCAGGGATGTTTTGAGCACTTTCACTGGTTTGCTCCTAAAACCTTGGTGGTGGGGGCAGAGGTTTCTGGGCTGTGAATCCTGGGTAGAGATAGACGGACTCTTCTTGGGAGCCCTGACAGTGACACCATGGGTCGGACAAGGGGGAGCCTTTAAGACCAGCCCCTCTCACCCCTGCTCAGTCTAGTGCTTTTGGAAATGCCTGTACCTGCATGTCTTCCTACAGGCTGTATATACCCTCTGTGCTGATCCCACTCAGGAAGACTTGCTAGGATGTCTTGCTAGACCTGGGCCTGCTCTTTGGCTTGCTGCACGTGCCCGAGTGGCTATTTTCAGTGAGCTGGAAAATTCTTTGCTGACTTTCATGAGCTGTGGATCACACCCTAGCTGCTGCCTTCCAGGGAATCCATGTGAGGATCTTGGGTATCTCATGACATTTATTACACTGCATTTGTGGGGAGACTTTCCTGTTTGGTGTTATGTATGTAGCTGGGTTGACTGCAGTGGGAGCTGTGACCACAGGAGAGCTACAGGTGTCTGTTAGATTTTCCAGACTTTTTGAGTTTCCAGACTTTTTGAGTTTCTCTTACTACATCTGTGGGAGAGAAGGAAAGGAAGAACATTAGCATTATTTTAAAAAATTTGCATTCTCTGCCTGGCTTAATTCAGGCTTAAATTTCCTCTTTCAGCTGGCAGAAGAACAAATCCAGCAAAGACCTTGCAGAACTTCTAAATTCAACCCTTCTAAAACTCTTATTCCACCTGTCGAGAGACTCACTGTAGTAGGAGTGAGCACACAACAGGTCAAGGATACTCTAGAGCCTGAGGGCCTAAGCTTAGGCAAGCTCAGGCTCGACTCTGTGCAAGGCTGATGCAGCAATGCCCAGGAGACTGTTCCCTTCTCTCTGAGATGATTCTGGGCACAGCCAGGTCCAGCAGGGCTTCTTGGCTCCTTCTCAGCAAAGTCCCATGCCCATGGGTGCAGGAAGGCAGTGGGGACTGTGTCCCAGGATAGCAAGGATCTACAAGCTCTTATTCAAAGGATATGTGAGCAGGGACTACAGTCCGAAGGGTGCTTGAGTAGTAAGTGCAGGTGTGACCACCTACGTAAGGGGGGTCTCCCTGGGAAACACTATCTTGGTCCTGTTCCCACCACTGCCAGTCAGGAGGGATTTTTCAATGACAGTGGAGCCAGGTTTCCAAAGCCTATGCCCCAAAAGTAGGGAACTAATGGAAATTCATCTCCTTCTCCACGAGGCTTTTAGGGAAAAAGAAAGAAAGCCACAAGAGTCACGTAACTTTTCGGGTTTGATTTCCTGGCAATACAGTGCAGCATCTCCAATGACAGCTTGCTATGCCTCTTCAGGACACCATCTAGTTAGCAAGGGAGAAGCTTTCTCTGAAGGAAGAGAGCATTTTTAGCGAGGCTATTACTAGTAAACAGTCTGTTTAATTTGCCTGTGTTTACTTCCAAGAAGTGATTTCCAACCTTTTTTTTTCCCCCCCCAGATAAGCCTCACCTAAGAAGACTGGTGCTCTCTCACTTGCAGATCACTGCCTCTGCTCCGGAGATGTGGATATAGAGCTCTGCTGTTACGATGGAGGTGGTACAAACCCTCATGGTCCAGTATTGCTCTCTGGGCCTGCTACAGGACAACAGGAAAGGTTGACCTCAGTGGGATTTCTCAGAGAAAAGCTGTGTTTGTGGTGGGTCTGATTTAGTCATGTAACTCGAGTGACTGCAGAGGGAGCTCTAGCCACAGCGGAGCTGCAGGATTTTATCACCTTTCTGGTCCAAACTCCCTTTTATTCTTTGAATAACCCTGTCGGCTGCTGGAAAGGGACAAGGAGAGGATGAGCAATAATTAACAAAGTCACCAGCTGCCCTCCGCTTAGTAACGCCAAGGTAACCAGGTTTTCATGAATATTTCACCTTGTTTCCTTCCCCTCTTGCTTTTGGTTGAGGACTTGGGCAGCAAGGAAGAGGGCACCAGCTGGCACTTCTGCCAGGTTTGCCGCTCTGCATTGCCCTGCTTCCTCAAAACCCAGATTTCCTCAGAGGAATACACTGCCTGCTTAAATACATTCACCCAAATTACTAGAATCTGGCAGCTGCAAGAGATTAGGTATAAACAAGACCTAAAGAATGATGCAGACTGTCACGTAAGAATTCAGGGCCATAGTAGTCAGGCATTCAACAGTGCTTTAATTTTGGTCATTTTTGTACATCACTCAATGTTTTTTTTTGATCCCAAAGTATCAAGAAATTTCCAACAGAAGGGAGTTTTTTCTTCTGATTGCACGAAAAGCTCACATAAAAATTGAGGAGTCTGCCAAGGGAAGGTCACCAAGTTCATCCTGTGGCTTCCACTTTTCTATAAACAGAGGAGACAGAAGGGCAACAACCCCAACTTTCCTTTTCTATCCTCAAAGTCTCATCCAAGTGAAGGGACCAACCTATATATCTAGTTGAGCGGATTCTAATTTTTCAGATGGCAGAAGTGGGCAAGAAGTCCGCCCTGTGGGATCACGAGGTGTCAGCTGCCTGGTTTGGAGGCCCGGGGAGAAGATGGGCCTGGGTGGGTGAACGCGGTGACTGAGGAGGAAGCTGATGAGTCGGAGAAGGCATTGAGGGAGCCATCACTGCTGCCACCTCCTGAGACCTCATAGTTGCTATAAGGCATTTCATACTGAGTGCTGTGTCCCAAACACTTGCAATCCTTGCAGCAAGAGCTGTATTTTTATCTTCCCTCTCGTAGTGAGTGCCTTGACCCCTAGTCTGCGGAGTCAGCCTCAGGAATGGGGAAAGATGAAGAATAGCACGTTCCATCAGAAGAAGCCCCACCACACACCTTTCAGCAGTGTCTGCTTCCCAGCACAGCTCTTGAAGGCACAGTAAGGATTAACACATACATTGTCACAGCAATGGCACGAGCTAATCTGAACAGGGACGCAGCGGGCCTGAGGTTCGCCTTGTGGGAATGGGGAGGCTCTGAGGCACTATGGCAACAAGGGCTGTATGCAAAGATGCCAAAACTCATCTTTTAATCCGTGCTGCAATTCTTAGCTATGGATCCATTTCCATTCTCTTCATATTTTTCTTCTCAAAAGTGTCAGATGGCATGCACACGGTTTAATTGAGGTGGATGAGAGTGTGCCAAGGACAGTGTAGACTGAACATATCTTTTTAAAGCATGTCACAGCTTGAAAGGGCTCATTTTTGCAGCCTTTACTTGGGACTCCCATTTTCACATTAGCTTCACTTCTCCTCCTCTCCCTACCCCAGGATTTCCCCTCAAGGCTATTTTCCTGGCAGGGCATTCTTAGAGACCAGGCGTGATAACGCTGTTCAATTTAGCAAAATATGTGTGCCAGCACAGATGTGGTCTGTGCTTGATAGTGCCAGGCATTGCATTCTGCACACTTGGTGATAGCTGTAAACTAACTGCTCACGCTGTTTACAGCCACACACTTACAGCAATCCCTACAGCCGCTGGCAAATGCGAGGGAAAACAGCACAGAGAAGAGGGCATTTTGAAGCATGCACTGAACTTCCCCATGTACTTCCCAGCTTCTAGCAACAGGCCCACCCATTTCCCAACCTTCCTACTCCTTCGCTCCCTTTGCACCGTTGCCCAGCCAGGGCGATGAGAACCACAAGCAGCAATTTCTTCAGAGGATACTGAGCATGCACAGGCTGTCAGGGCACGCACACTGAAGGCGAAAAGTAGCAAATGGCACCTGGGGAGCGTTGTCTTGATGCTCCACCCCAAGCTCCATGGTGGAGCTCCACCCCCAGCTCTGTGGGGACGTTATAGGTGCTGGGCTACGAGCTGGCCTGTTGGTCATGTCTACTCACTGTCAAAAGGATGATGGAAAAGCCAACCCTCATTGCTCAGGTGGACACCAGCCTACAGGACTCTTCCCCACAGCTGGGTATAGCCCGTGCTTTTGTATCCTTTCTGATCTGGGATGGAAAGAGAGGAGGGGGGGTGAGCACAAAGCAGCAGAGGACTCCACATTGGCCATGTTGTGATCTGGATCGAGCAAGGTATTATCTTCTTCCAGAATATGGAATGTGGCAGGCAGGGTCCTGGTGATTTTTCTTACATGCTTGATGTAAAAATGGTAGAGGGGAATGCTGCACTCAGTATGCCCAACCTCATCTTTCATTAACTGAAAGGCAACTGAGAAAAAAATGCGTTTGCAATTGCCTTTGCAAAACGTTCATCCTTGCTTGTGACTTCTCTTCAACTGTGAATTCAGTTGGGCACTGTTTTGGCAGCCTCAGAGGAAAAGCAGCATTTGAACTTTGGAAGTCAATTTTACCTCAAAATGCAAACATACACACAAGGAAGTTTACTTTCTGAGTTATTTGAGTGTTTGACTTTTCCAGGTTGATACCTGTTTCTTTCTCAGATGGCTGGGGTAAGGAGGTTGTATATAGATGCCTGGATTTATTTTTAAAGGAAAAATGTGAAAGCACTTTCTTAGATTTGACTGTAACTTGCTCTTTTGCAGTTGGAGTGGCTCCTGAACACTGTCTGTGCTGCAGTGCTGAAGATTCATACAGATCTTGAACTACAGGGCTGCTGCTTAGTTGTGGGACAAAGTTATCTCGCTCGTGGGAAGATGCAGACAGTGTTGGTAGAGAACTGGTTGTTGCTCTGCAAGCTGTAGAGCACAAGGCTTCTGTGGCTTCTGTTCTTAAGAGGACAACAACAGGTCACTATGCAGGGTTATCGATATCTAATAATAATATAAATTTGATATGCAGCACCCCGCACCATCCCTTGAGAATCTGCAGAGAGAAGTGCATTGCAAAATGGTTGGAAATCATTGCCCCAGAAAGAGCTAGGCATGGGCAGTTTTTGCTCTTTCTTCTTACCTGGCTTTCCTGTTCTAGAGCTTCTATTTTATCAAATATCCAAAGAGAAGAAGAAGAGATTGATATGGGAAGAGTGATTCGGTAGGAAAGATGACCTGATACAGCTCTTTTGTTGGTATTACAGAAGCTCTTGTGGCTTCCAGGAAAGAGTTGTATTGACACCTCTTGGGATAATCTGGGCCTGGCTGCTTCAAAGATTTTTGTTCAAGGCGTTTCTCCTGAAGAACACAGGAACCAGAAGAACACAGACTGATTTGGAAAACTGAAAAAATCTGTATTAAAGCCTAGGCATTCTTTTTTTAATATGACAATATTTCTTGGGATCCTACAAACAATAAATGAAGTTGTGGAAATCTCCAACCTTCCTGTGTGTATGCTTCAATGTATACAAAAGCATTGGCTTGCTTGTAAGTAAGTGTTCCCCGGGTATTAAACTGCCTGCTCTGTTGAAAGGCATGCCTGTTCCATGAATAATTTGTTCCCAAAAGGGTGTGTGTGAGGGGAAGGGAGAGGTTTAAATGTTCTGTGTCTTCACAAAAATTAAATGACAGAGGCGGCAGCTCCTTCCCAGCCTGTATTCCTTATGTTTTAAGTAGAGTTAGTGCATGCAGGGTCCAAATAAGCGCAGACTTGTCCTTTGAACGTCATGGAGGTGGCAAAAACAAAACCAGCAAGAGCAAGAGGTGCTGCATAGGCTGGGTAGAAGGAGTTCAAATGGGATCCGATGCTTCGTGGACTTGCTTTCTGTCCTTCACTTCTGGGAGGCAGAGGCATGCAGAGCAGGGCTGCATGGTCTAGGGGCATTGGGGTTCAGCCAATGCCTCTATCTCGATCAGCTCTTTGACATCTGAAGAAAAGAGCAAAGAAGATTTTTCCGGAGGTTTCAGGGGTAAGACCAGCTCTCTGGACGTCTAGAGAACCTGAATGGCGATGAGGCCCCTTTCTACTGAACTGGGGACCTCAAAAATGGTGTAAAGAATTTGCATCTTGTTGGACTTGGGATATTGGAGAATGCCTCGCTCTAGGACCTGCTGCAGTGGTTTCCAGCTAGACTGCCATCGCCCTGTGCTCGAGGACTGCTTGCACTCTGCACATGCCTCTCTCGCCTTCTTCCTCCGCTCTTTTTCCCCTGAGCTTTTTCCTTCTTAAATTTCTCTCCTCAGCTGCCCTTCTTCTTGCCCAACTTTTCTTTCCTCTAACTCGCCAGTACTTGCTGCATTTGCATGCATGCGCTACCTCTGCGCTCCCATCTTGAAAAGGAACACCTTTTTGCTCTTGCCTCTGGGTGAAGCTTCAGTAGCAGGCACAAATTCATTGGGCTTCACTAGCAATGGGGCTTAATTGTTCTGTGGAGGAGATTGTGCTCTCTCTGCAGAGCAGAACACAGTTGTGTTTATTTAAACTTGTCAGAATGAGCTGAGGTAGAAGACAAGCCCATACGGTCTCCTGTTTTCAGGATTACCCTGTGAAGCATTGGGACAGGTTTGCAGTTATATTTTTAATTGAGCCTGAATGCATGTTCCTTAATCTATATCCTAGACAGCTGTTCCTACTCCAGCACAAGCTAGTGCTGTTACTCAGCCAAAGATGTTCTGGTAAATTGCATGCTCATTCATACAAAAAATAAAAATTAACTTTTGAACTTTTAATTTCAAATCCTACTTAATGTTAATTCTTTTTTTTTCCGCACTGCATAACATAAATCACATGCTGATTACCAGGCCTTGTGTAGCCTTCAGTCGTAGGAAGGGGCTGCTTTGAACGCTATCTCAGAAGTAGCTCGCGGCTCCACGCAGAAGCAGCGCGCAGTCGCTAGCACACCGTGCAGGCTCTGGCGGGCTGAGGCCATCCTGCGGGCCGTGTACACGCGGCGTGTCCTAGGAGCTGAGGTGCACGTGCAAATGTCCTTGGTGCCTTGTCATCATCCTGTTGGGAGGACTTCTCACTGATTCACCCCTTGATGACACCGGCTGGAGCCTTCTGCCTCTCCCCGTCAACAGTTAATGCCCAGCGCTCCACGCTTTTCCTTTCAGGTCTCCTCTTTCCCGCCCCCTTGGCGCTCGCTCTGCCCAGTGGCACTAATGTGTTTCTCCTGTTCGTATCTCAGCTACACCCTGGACAACGATGTTCTAACCACAGAGCAAAGGCAGTTCTACGAAGAAAACGGTTATCTTGTCATCAAGAAGCTAGTTTCTGATGAAGACATTGAACGCTTCAGGTACAGGCCTCTTGCCTAAGCTGCTCATGGTGTTTATGTGCAGCAGCACCCTTAGGGAGCTCTTGGAAGCTGTAGTCTTGGGGCTCGGCCAGCATGGGAAGCGTGTGCTGTTGCTGAATACCTCCCTTTGTGGAAACAGGGTGTTTGAGGAGAGTGAGCTGGCAGAAGATTGCTAAACTGTGCTCCGTCTTCTCTGATTCCCACCTGCTTTCCAGGAAGGAATTCGTAAGGATCTGTAACAAGGAGGTAAATCTACTGGGAGCTATGATCATGAAAGACGAGATGCTGAGGTCCCAAAATGTTCAGTCTGAAAAAATGGTCAATAAAGTACAGGACTTCCAGGAAGATGAAGAGTTGTTCAGATACTGTACTCTGCCACAGGTTAAAAAAAAGGGAGGGGGATGGTAGTGGAAGACTCTTTCAAATATTTGTGAACATATCTATTTTTAATGTCTATATGAAATAAATCTCCAAGCTAAGCAGGCCAAACTAATCGTTCTTGAAGGCCGTATGATGTTCTGTTCTGCTCCATCTGATATCAGATGGATTTTTAGCCAGCTTTGTGTCTCTCCTCCTACACAGAGAATCTAGAGTTGCTCTAGTTTTACTGAATTATTTCAACTCTGCCCTGTTTCCAGAGCCCAGCGATCAAATTTTGTCATGGAGTGCTAGATTATGATGAGAACAGTCCTAGGGTTCACCTGCTCATGGAGAAGGGAGACATGGTTCTTCCATCCCCTGCTCATTCATGGCTCTGGAATAAACAAGACGTCAGGTTTCCGGAAGGTAGGAAACCATCTCAAGATACAGCTATCAATATTTTTAGCTGATTAAACAAGCATCCTTAAGCTCTGTTTAACCAAGAACTGATTACAAAATAAGTGGGTTGATTTGACTATGTGGAGGAAGAGAAGAAGACTCCTTACCAAACACTCAGATCTGCTTTGATTCTCATTTCCATGACTGACAGTTCAGATGCCAATAATCTGAGAGTTCATGGGGATGAAGTAGCGCTTGCTTACACTGTTGATCGGTGATGTTACTCATGCTGCTCAGCGCTGAAGTGAAATCCAGGCACTGCAACAGACCTGACTTTTTTAAAAATCACAGGAAATTTTCTGTAAGAAAGCAAGCTTTGCTCTTCTTTCTCATTTCCACAGCATCTGGAAACATCCTACATGATTCTGGTGCGTGCAGATAGAGGAGTACAGGTGATATGAGTAAAGTCCATGGCAGGCAGGTGTTTAGGAGAGGAGGGAAGGAAGAAGAGCACGCATGTGAGCAAGAATGTTCTTTCCAAGTGGATGCTCTCAGGTGTGCTGGAGTCCTCTGGAAGGAGGAAGACACGTTTTGCCTTGATCTGTAAAGAAGGGGTGGGGTGTCCACAACCAGCGCTGCATGAGCTTTTTGCCATTGGTTATTTTGTAATCAGTGTGGTAGTGATACCCCATTTCCGCCTGCAGAGTATAAGTTGTCACTTTGCCAGCTCAGAGTGCTACTACATTGATGTCAAGAACACTGTCCAAGAAGACCTTGAGAAAGAAACGGTAGAAGTGGCACGCAGCAAATTTAATATGACTTCTCCTTTGGACATTGTGGTAATCTTGAATCGTGATCTTATCCTGCTGGCTCTGATCTGTTACATTAGCCCTTTGTTACAATATAGGTGCTCAGTTCCCTTTTCTGTTTGTAAGAATCTCCTGTATGACCATTTTGTGGGTTTTTTTTCTTATTCCGAGTGTCACAGATGAAACCATGTATATGAAGCTACAGGGCCGAGCAGGGGTGCTAGTCAGAATAGAAGATCAGGTATTCGAGGGTGACTCGGAGGTGTTTTTGGCCTTTTTTGGCCTTTGATAAGCCTGCTGCTTGCTGTCTAGCTGCCTGTGGTGGATAAGTGACCTTGCCCTCTAGGCAGTCCCTTGGCTTCCATGGAAAGACCTTGAAGAGCCCTCACAGTTCCTCCTCGAGCTCTGCTCACACCATTTTAAGCTCTCAGCGGCCAAAATGGATTTTGTCAGCACAACTCGATCCCTATTACTGCAAATCAAAGCAGTTAGTGTGAACTTATTTCAGCTGTTTTTAGGTGACTGTAACTTTTACTTGCAAAAATAGGGGCGCACATTTTATTCAGTGCTCATCTGTAGTGTGTTTTTGCTTACAGCAAGTAGCAAGGCCACATCTGGCAGCAAACGTTGACTGAATTCCATGTTAGTCCTGAAAATGAGCCTTTTAGCTTGCTTCAGATTTATTTTTGCTGGTTGGATTTTGTAGCTTAACATTTCATTAAGTATTGCATATATTTCTCTATTGGAGCTTTGACTTTGAAGGGACAGCCCCTAAGTTCACTGCTGTTTTTTACAAGTATTAAGCCAAACAGGTCAGCTCCTGTCCGGTGATAAGCTGGAAACACTGTATCCTAGTCACTATCTTTCCTGACGCCTAAGCATTTTGCTTTGTTTTATTTTTTTTTTAAATGAAGAGCATTTGGCAGATGCGAGCAAAGCTCGTGCAAGCTGAAAAAATTAATCTTTAGAACAACCTCCAAAGACTGGGATGGAAAACATGCCTGAGTATCACTTCTGTGATCGGAGAGTGCAGGCCCTGCCTAAGCAGTCAGGATTATGTGCTTCGTTGACCTCTGTATTGGTAACCTAACGAAAGACAGCATTGCAAATTTATTTTATGCTAATACAAAATAACTGCGCTGAGGTTTAACAGCTGACATACATACTTCAAAGAAAACCTAACCTATACAAACAGGGATTTGCTGTGGTTAGTTATTTTAGGCAATCAAAGGACTATGATTGGAGATGTGCTTCACTTCTTGATTTTTTTTTCTCATCTCCCTCTTGAGGAGGGAGTGCCATGCTAAGTGCAAAGTGAGGCAATGTCTGATCCTGCACCTAGTGGAGATTGTGGCTACGTCACAAACACAAAGTGCCAGAAACCTCCAATGATTTGTGGGTGCAAAGCCTCAGTCTTTGGCCACACCAAGCATTTGAGATGTTTCTTTACAGCTCAAAGTTCACCCAGAGCTGTAGCCCCCAGATAGCTGGGCTTTGGCTGTGTGCAAAGGCTTGTGAACACACTGAAGAAACAGGGCCTAGGAAGTCCCCAAACCACCTGGGGCAGCCAAAATGTTCAGTATGGCCTTCTTTCGCCTCGGTTCCTAATGATGAATGCTGCCTGTTCTGCTTCCTTTCCTGGCATCAGATAGATCAACGTTTGCAAAACCCTCATGCAAGAACACAGCTTGCAACAGTGCCCAGAAGCAAATAGATAATGTCTCCTCTTTAGAGCAAGGGTTGAATAGTACCAAAGAAATAAATTTAGGAGTTTTTACCAAAGAAAGCAGAAAACAAACTGCTGAAGAGCTACTTGGCCACAGAGCATGCAGCAGCCTTAAGGCCGAATGAGATACAACCTTGGAGGGAAAGAGCAGGATGTCTTTAGACAGCCCATGTCGGTGGTGGGACTCTGGAGCAACCACTGTGGGCTGGTGGCCTGGTCTTCTCTGTATCTCTTTACCATCTTGTGCTCTGCGATGGTGAGCAAAAGACTTCACTGACTTGGCACAAACAGAGACCTGGCCCCGATTTTATCATTATTCTACTTTTCCTTTGGGTGTTTGCCCTTCTGATCATACTTCAAAGGTGTCATGCAAGAAGAACAAAGAGATAAGGAAGATTTTTGGGGGAAATGGTGCTGTTTTCCTCCAAAGCAATGGGTGTATCACCGATCTGCCCTCTGGTTTCTCTCCTGCCAGGGCGAAGGGTGACAAGGTGGGAAGGCGCTCCTGTGCGTGGCACCTGTTGAGCTCGCCGCGGGAGAGCCTGGGAGGGAGATGCTGCTTTCCCTTGGCGTCCAGCCGGCCTGACACTCGAAGGGAAAATTCTCACTCTTCAGGAGCATTGCCAGTGAGTTGAGCGGAAGAGATAATTGGCATGAATCAATGCTGAGGATGTTTTTTCTATCAAGGTAATGTCCTAAAGGTTCTTTCCAGAACAGCTAAAATGTTTTTTTCTGTTGTTTTTAGTCCATCTTTTTCCCAACACAGAGTTTTCATTCTTTTTTTTTCTTTTTTCTTTTTCCTTTTCCTTTTTTCCTTTTCCTTTTCTCTTCCTTTCTCTCTTTTTTCTTTTTATTTTTTCCTTTTCTTTTTTTTCCTTTTCTTTTTTCTTTTTTCTTTTTTTTTCTTTTTTTTTTCTTTTTGTTTCCTCCTTCCTTTCTTTTCCTTCCTTCCTTCCTTCTTTCCTTCCATCCTTCCTTCTGTCTCTCTCCTAAACACTTCATCTCAAAGCTTCATCTTACTTTTTTAATGTAAGATTTAAAAATTAAATGTTTCCATTAAAAATTTTTCAAATTTCACTAAATTTGCAAACATCGTCAGTATTTTTCCATGAAAATACAGCTACCCAAAAGCTTACAGTGAGTTACTCACTTGAAATTAAAGCCCTAGTTCTCCAGCCAAGTGGAAGTCAGCAGAACTAACTTCCCATTTCCCATTTTAACGTGCACTGTCCTGCCCTCTGGGGGTTCCCCACTCAGCAGCTCTGGATGCAGAGCTGCGAGGATGGTGCCACAGCATCTGCAGCTCCAAAGACTTGCTGTCCCCTTCTACCTACAGGATTACTGGTGTAGCGAGGAGATGTTAACTAGAGGATAGCTCAGCACAATATTCATTCTTCCTGCACATCACGTGGACCAATTTAGGCTGGAGGGCAAAGATTACACTGCGTCCATTTGTGTCTGTAGGCCTCAGTTCCATTTTTGGCCTTGAAGATTACACTAATTTGCAGGTGGTGATAACCATACTGACCCTTCTTGTGATTTTGAAGTAGTGATTTTGTAGTAGATTTTTTTTTTTCTTAGAGATTCAGTTCCACGGATCCTCTGGTTTACATTAGGATACTGGGATTTTGAGAAAAGGACTCCAAAAAGGATGTCTCAAAAACAGTATCAGCAAAAAAGAGCAGGAGAAAACAAGACTCATTGTGTTCGTGACTCCTGCAGCTCCAGCTCCTACCGTTGTTCCCAAGCAATTTCTAGGCTAAAAGACCATTTGCTCTTTCCACACTCAACAACTGTTGTCCCTTAGGAGCAGCAGTTGAAGAGCAGTGAGGCTTCAGGAGGGCTTTACATGAGAAGAACATAACTCACTGAACCTAACGAGGCTGCTCAAGCAGTTTAGCAACAGGATATCCACAGGCCTGAATCAAACCAGTCTAACAGCATTAGGCAGGTTTAACATGCATGTCCTAGAAATCTTGGCGTAGGACAGAGAGTTATCGAAGGCTTCATTTAATAAGGTAATTAATTGAGACCCTAAGTAAGTAGTTACTTCCCACGTTGCTGGTGTGTTGGATGACATTGAGCCACAAGAACACCAGGTGCCCATGGTTTGCCAGCGTGAATCCCCAATAAGCTCCCATCCAGCCCCAGCCTTGTCTCCTCCACCTTCATCACATGATCTCCTGGGAAGGGAAGACAGAACCTGCTAAGTCTATCCTCATTAGTGTCATTTAGCCCTCTGTTAAGTGATCAGCACTAGGCAACCCTTCTGCTTGGATGCTCCTTCTTGCTCTTGCCGGTGTTGTGTCCCTCTGGGATCTGAGCTGTGGTCGGGTGAGGGTGGGGATTTTGCGCCAGCCCCACAGGGCAGCTTTTGTCCTAGGCTATTTGTGGACTTGGTGACACAATTGTGCAAGATATTCTGTTACTGATATCGTTTAAGCAGCGGGATTTCAGGGTACCTGAGCCCAGATACCAGCCTGAGAGGAGCCATCCGTTGGCTTCCCTGTGCCCCAGAAGCTGTATGGACAACAGGCACCAAATTATCTGGAGCCGAGGGTACGAACCAGGCTTTCACCGAGCGAATGCTCCCCTGCCGGGAATGCAGGGGACATACTTATTTTCAAGTATGCAGGAACAAACTTATGTTCAAGCTCACGTCTATCCCGTTCCCTGTGCCTTGCCAACCCCCTCTGTACCCGGTGTAACCAGCCCAGACACATCCATCTCCCCTCCCCGAGCTGCCGCGGGGAGCTGGAGGGTGCGATCGCTGTTCGCGGGGCAAAACTGCGACTGCACCCGTGCCAGCAGCACAGGGAAGGGGATGCCCGAAGCTACGGTTCCTCCTCCCTTGGCTCAAAAGCGATGAGGACAGAACAGAAAAATACAGCATGAACTAGCTGTGCCGGAGGAGAAGGCGCGTGGCATGTGGATATGGCAGCAAAAACAGGCCAATAAAAGGGATGAACACACTCCAAGCGAAGAATGCCTGGGAGAAATCAAACTGCAAGTAAGGTGCAAATTTAGGAGGGAAAATAATTATTGTGGAGAAACCACGTCCTAAGAGGCACAAGGGGTTTTCCATCCTTCTGCACGCGCCCATCATGCTGAAAGGCAACTTCCTTTACCAAAGACACATCCGCAAATTTTTATCAGAATGTGAGGTCGGACCAGGTCAGAGTCAACGTTTGCACCAAACTCAGTCTGGGCCCAGAGCTGGCAGGACGCTCCCATCTAGTAGCAGCACCGGAGATGTCAAATTGCACTGGACCAGCCCAAAAATATAACTTGACAGGTGGGCTGAAGAGCCTTAGACATCTCGCCAAGTTTTGTTCTGCATTACTTTGGCTGAAAATCCGACCAAGGAAGAGGCCCTCATGGTGCACGTGGCTGCGTGGGGGCCATTCCCCTGGCCTTGAGGGGAAGGAGCCCTTTTAGGGTTTCAGCAGCGTTCGGCACCTGCCTGCAGTTTCCCCGTGGGCTGCCCAGCCCTCCACGTCCACCTGCGCTGCCGCCCCGCAGGCCGTGGGGATGGTGCGCGTGCCAGGAGGAGACGCCGGGGGAAGACGGGCCGTGGCGGCCACTGCTGGCTGCCGAGCTGAAGCAAGCAACTCATCCTCTTCTTCAGAAAACCAATACCATGCAAATCCAGGCAGTGTTTTATTGTGTGCTGTATTTAAAACTATTATGGATGAGGAATCTACGTGGAATAGTTCCAAGCAAGATATCACAGTTATATATGTACAGTCACCAAACAATGACTCCTGCCCCATCAAATGGTACTGACATGAGACGGAAACAAAACGAAAATACTGAGCAAACCTGCTCAGCAGTAGCACCAGTTGGAGACGAAGGCTGCAGCATACAGAGGTGTATCTGTCCAGTTGCCCCAAATCAAGGAACTTACTTATTTATTTCCAGCCTCTGTGTAAACAAAGAAAAGGCGAAAGGTATCTATCTACAAAGACACCGAGACATGGGATAGAACTTGCGGCAGTTTCACCAAATCATAGAGGTAGTGGTTTTAGGTACCTAAAAGACCCTATGATCCTGCTAGGCATGAGCTAGGGGTAGCAGAAGGCTCAGGTCCAGGAAAACCTGGACGAATGGCAGCCAGCATCTCTACAGTGATGTGCTTTCATAGAAATGCCTGTATGAGGATAGCCCTTCTCCTGAGCCACATCTCGGAGACCACATCCGGCTTGATCTGAGATAGCTACTGTCTCCTAGGCTGCTGTGCCAGCATTTAAGGCTGACAGGGTGATGATCAAGTGGGGTTTCTGAAAAGTTTAAAACGTTAGAAAAAGCTATCAAATGTAATCTTTCAGCTCTTTAAAATCACTTACACACAATACTAGATTCATTAAAACACCTTTTTCAAAGATGGAGCTGCAGGTTTCTAGCTGTAAAGATACTGCAGTGTAGATGGTATGGAGAAGTCAGTCCAGGCTCTGTGGTAGGGAGAGGGCTTTTAAAAGAACTATGATTAATCTGCAGCATACACACTGCTAGTTTGCAATGCCAAAACCGCTTGAGTGTTATTAAACACATAACTCACTGAGGCAACTCAGCAACAACCTGAAATCTGTTCTGAAGGGTCTAAGTGAGCAATTTCACAGACAATGAACAATGCTGTGTGGGTACATGCCCCTCGTACACCTTTGCAACTGCCCACCGCTGAATGCCGCTGCAGCAAGGGAACTCCTCCTAGCACTGACATAGCTGAACTGGTACAGCATGATGGGCTGGCATTATGCACCGTGTTAATAACTTCACAAGTGTTTGCAGAGTCTGCAGTCCTCTCAGTTCATGATAGTTTGTCACCTAAAATTTTGGTGGGGTCACTCTAGGCCAGTCATTCAACATACATTGTGGGATCCCTAGGGATTTCTTGGTGCAAATTCCATACTAGCTGTCTCTTTCTTAGGCTAAATTTCATAAACAAGTTGTTACTAAGAACAGGCACAAACATGTATTTCATATGCAGCCTTATTCAGTCAATTTTAAAAAGATCAAAATTGAGTATCGATGCAGTGGTGTGGTGGAGACTTTGTGGATGTCCTTTTCCCTGCTCATTCACCCCTAAAACCAGAATCCTCTTGGCTTTGCAGTAAACAAATGTGCGGTTTAGACACAAAAATGCTTCCCTGTGTTGTGAAAAATTCAACCGCAGGTCACTTAAGGCTGTTGAGGAATTTTGGCTGTTCTTCCCCTCTTGGTAAAAGCGTTTCTCCACCAATCTTCGGACCTTTCTTCTCCTAGAAAGATGAACCATGGAAAAAAGGAAATAAAATGTGTGGCAAGATAGCTTCCCAACAGTTTTATGACAGAAGTTGAAGAAGTTGCAGTAGGGCTAAATCATCTGATACAACATTGACAGAAGCTCTATAAATCTTTACATTCCAGGTTCTTACAAATCTGATCAAAAGCAAATTCCCCAGGGGTTAATTAAAACGAAGCTTCGAGAAAAAAAAGCAGGGAGAGAAACTCCACGAAAACACAGCAGGGAAGGTTTGCCAAGTGTATCTCATTGTATCCCACGATGTACACAGCGTGACAGCAAGTCACCAGTAGGTATCTGAGAAGCTGCAAAGGTGCTTGATTTTGCTTGTAGCTCACAAGAGCACTGACCTAAAGCCTGGGACAAAAGCAGCAAGAGAAGCAGCCAGAGTGTTGAGGCGCTCAGAAACTGCTGGCTTGTGCTTACCTTCAGCATCCCATCTCGCTCCCATTTGAAGAGGCCACAGGTACTGAAAGATGAAGATGGAAGGTAAGGACCATTGTGGTGTCCATTTGTGGAGGGGGCCCAAAACTAGCCCTCCACCTTTCCCACATGGCTTAGCAGCAAGGGCTAGCATTCAAGTCTTAGCCCATGCTAATATGACTCCCAGTAATTTACTTATGAGTGGACAGAGCAAAAGCCCCAGCCTAGCGAGGCTCACTGCCTACCTGCAGGACTTTTTTGGGAGCCTGTCAAGGGAAATAGCTCGGTTGCCACAAGGACATTTGAAAAATCGCTTGAGGCCATCATGCCAGTGGTAGTCATGGTTATCCTGCACACACGTCTCCAGAGGCTTGAAATAGGTGTAATTACACTGTCAGAAAGGAGAGAGAGAGAGCTGTGAGTGTTTCACCAGCATGTAAGAACAGTTCTGTGGGCTGGTGAGAGCTGAGCGTCCAGAAGGAAGCCCCTTTCTCTTCTCCCATCCCAAGGTGCCCACCAGGCTGAGAGATCACTGTCCTGGGTTTTGCCACTGCTCCTTCTAATGCTGCCCTCCTCTCTTTGCCACAAACTGTGGCCCTGCTCCCAGCACCATGTGGGGCACACAGTGGCCCTCTGTGCTGCCCCAGACAGATAGGAAAGGCTGCAAGAGGAAAAGTATAGCAGGGACTGAAACGCTAGAGATGGGAGGTAATTCTTCCCTTCCCCTCAGCATGTTTGAGATAGTAATAAAGCATAATAATAAAAATAGTAATAAAAATTCCTCTCTCTGACAGCAGTCCCCGGAATGGCAGACAAAGGAGTCCCAGTGTTATGTTTTTGAGGCACTGGGCTTCATTTATCATGACGGAGAGTCCTGGTACAAAGCAATTCAGGGGAAGGAATTGTGATGAATGGATGCCAGGACAGCAATGTTTAGGGTCCACTGGCCACTGACACAAACATCAAGTTGAAATGTTCAGCCCAGCACTAAAGTCTGCCTTGCCAATGCCTCAGTGCTTCCAAAGCTGCTCGGTGCATGGGCTGCTCTCAGCAGCAGTCACACAGAATGAAACGGTCTCCATTTGATCCTGGCACCAAACTATGGCCAAGAGACTGACTGATGGGAGTCTGCAGGGTGGTCCAACATCGTTTCTACAATCCATGTCCCACTCCCCTGCTGTTACCCTGACCTCTCTCTGCTGTGTCAATGCTCCCCTTCACTCACCGTTTTACATGTTACGACTCGACATTTCACTTCTTTAATGTTCCTCATCTTCTCTTCCATTTCTTCCTTTTTCACAAGTGGCTGGAAGTATTGCTCCTGCAGCTCAGCCTCGGCCTGTCAGGGCATAGGAGAAGGGTTGTGCGGAAACAAAGATGGGAGAAGTCACCGCATTATCTAGCCTCTGGGCAAATCACTGGGCCTGCCTGATGCAGCCTGCAATCTGGGAGCCAGAGAAACACCAAACATCTCTTTTTTCAAAAAACGCATATAGTGCCTGTGTTCGACCGCCACTGAAAAACAGCCATCTCTCATCTCATCTCATCTGAAGTGAGTCACTGGAAGAGTTTAACAACAATACATGCCACTGAAATGAGCATGCACCTCCAAGACAGTGCAGGGAGAGGGCAGGTAGGCAGGTGTAGTGAATAGGCTTGGTTCTTAGCCAAAATGTTATGCCTCAGAAGACCTTAAAACAACCAGGACTTCATACTAAGACATTGCATCCAAAAGAAAAGAGCTGCTGGAGGTGCTGTATCTCCTGGGAGCACGTTCAGCAATGACCCTGATAGAAGAAACGCTACCTCTTAGCTCATCAGTGCAATTGCTGGATTTCACAGGCTCTGCAACTTAACGTAAGTCCCAGACTGAGGTGCTAGCTGTCTTTATGTGGCCAAAATGACAAGAAATGAGGGACAAAATAGGCCACCTGACCTTACTGTGTCTATGGTAATAATATCGATCTGCAGGCACTGTACCCAGTGTGCGTGGAAACCCTTGACCCTCCTCTTCAAGATGATTTGGTGCCTGTCGTATGTGTTTGGGTGCCTGCTTCTCGCTGAAATCACTACGAGAAGTCCAGGCAACTCCCTGATTCTGAGCCCTCAGTCATGGCTGGATTGAGGCCATACCTCTTTCAAGACACCTGTGTGCTTGGACTTGGCATTCAGGATTTTCTGGAACTCCTCTGACTCCAGATAGGCCAGCTGCTCTCGTTGTTTCTTCTGGGCAGGCTCCAGTTCATCCATATCTAGGGAAATAAAAGGCATTAGTTCAACAGAGGGCAATCTCAAAACAAGGTTGTGACTTGTAAGCATAATAACCCCAGGAGGCTTTGGAAATCTCAGGTCTTTCAGGCAGATGTTCAGGTCAAACAACAGTTTTTAACAGATCAGAAGAACACAAAGGCAAATTCAAAGATAGGTTCAGGAAAATAAAAGCGTTTTACTAATAACATCAAGCCTTCTCTTGAAGCACTACACTAGGAAGTTTCACGCCACTCATGGGAGAGCGATCAGTGTTTCGTATCTTACTGATATAGAAAAGCTTGAAGAATATTAAGCAATTCATCCAAGGTCATACGGTACATCTGTGGGGAAACTCATGTTCCACAGGAAAATTCAGATACATTTTCAGGTGTGATTAGTTCTTGGTTTCCCAGAAATTGTTCCCTTGGTTAAGTTACCCACGTGCTGCAAGTGCTCAAATGGAGCAAAGAGATCAGAGATGAGGACCAGGAGCTTATCGAAGACTACATCTCACAGTCTCCCTTCATAGGGTTAGACATCATTTAGCTTTTGAGCCAGGACCACTCTGCAATAAACCCTTTAAGTTCTAAATAGAACCAGTTTGGCCTCTCTTTGGCACAGCACATCAATTGGTAAC